GTATCTGTGATTGAGCATCACACTCAGGTGAGCCTAGATTCTCCAGTACAGGAGCTGAAGCTGTACACATCTGAATAAAATACTGAATATAGACAGGGTTTTCTTTTTGTTCACCACTTTCCACAAATTTCAGGAAGATTACTTGGATGTATTGATTGTTTTCTTTTCCTGTTTCCAATCTCTTTTTTAAGTGCTGTCATGTTGACTCTCCAAGTCCAAACACTTATTCAGTGATCTTCTCATTTAGTCTTACAATACCAGTTTTTCATCAGCAACTACAGGTAAGATAAATAGATATTTATTTGATTGAAAATTCATTTTGGCAAAGAAGCCTTTACTGTTAAATACTTTCAGCTTTTCTACTGAATGTTAGTGTTCTAACTGTCCTTTAAACTAACTCCAGAATGACTGTGGGGACATTTAAATGTTTGTTCTTTGAACGGGTCCTTCTAATGCCAAGCTGTAAAAACAAATTAAATAAATAACTAATTAAATAATATAGCCCCCCATCAGATATGTAGAGGTCATAAAGTGAAATGGCTGCTTTCTTTGAAGAGAACTTGTGTTTTTCATCTTGCTGCTGGCTTCTACAACTTGCAGGCACTCCCTAAAGATATACCAAGTGATGCGGAGCTATAATTAATGCCTGTTAGATAATAATGTAAAAATAAACAAGACCAGATTTCCTGAAGAGAAGCACAAGGCTGGGGAGGTGGAGGAGAAAAGAGAGCAGAAAAGTTTGAAGAACACAAAATTGTGTGTATTAATTAGTGGTAGAACAGAAAGTTCACCTCATGGAATCTAATCCAATAGTAAAACATTTTGGGTCATATTCTCTGGTGAATTTATAATCCCTTTACATTATTCATGTGGCAACATGGGGACATAATATGGCTGCAAATGACCAGCAGAAAATTCACTGGTGTAGGGAACACTCTGCTGGGCAATGCTGAGCTATATCCCACTCTGTGGCTCTTCATTCCCATCCCACTCTCAGCATAGTAGGCTTGTTGGGAGTAGGGTGGGGAAACGGTAGGAGTGAGAAGGAAATGTGATGGAGTTCCACTCCACAAATCCTCCATTGGCATGGGGTTCATTAAGGGCCATATGTCAGTGGTGTAGTTACTTAAGGATAACTGACATAGCTAAGCCGGTAAAAGCTCTAGTGTAGATGTAGTTATGCCAGTACAACTGTAATTATACCACCATATCTGATGCCAGTTCCCTGAACCAGCATAAAATATACTGGCATAAGTAAGCACTTTTATACTATAACTGCATCCACATTAGGAAGGTTTTACCAGTTTAACTACATTAATTTACCTATATCAGCAAAACCCTGTTAATATAGACAAGGCCTACTGCTGTTGTAGCTGGGACTGACCCTCAGAAATAGGGAGTTAGGATCAGTTCCCTGACATTCTGCACCCTGGGTTGAGCAGAACTGTGGAGGAGGAGAGAATCTTGCCTTTCTGTGCGAGACCAGAGAAGGGGACTTATTTTTTTCCTATTAAGTCAATGGCAAAATTCCCATGTAGAGCTGACTGGTGAAAAAACGGTAAGTATATTTTGTGAAAAATGTTGAAAGAAATGTATTCTTTATTTCATTTGAAATGTTTCATGATTTTTTAAAATTATTTTTCAATAAACAATTTTGTTTCAGTGGGAAAAAAAATCCCCCCTTTTTTTTAGTTCAAGAGAGTAGAGGTTTTTCCCACCAGCAAAACAAAATATTTTTAACCAAAAAAGCTATTTTTGATTAAAACATTTCAACCACCTCCACTTCCATGATCTTCAATGTGAGCCAAATCAGGCCCAAGAAAGTTCATCCTAGTCCCATTGAAAAACAGCGTGCGTTTTGACACTGAATTTTAATAGTAGCAGAAGCAAACCCTATTGCAGTAGTGTTTTTGATTCATCCTACTTCACTCTGCACTGAATAATCTTTAATTAGCTTTCATAAACTATCTTTGACAGCTTCATTTATTCAGCCAACCACCTTCTGAGTGTTAGATCAGTAACATACATCTTGCTTCCACTATGTTTTTTAAAATCAGCACAAGTGTGAAAGAGAGCATTATATAATGGGAAACATTCCAAAGGATTAAGGCCCAGCCTCTCTTTACACAGATGTAACCCACAGTAGGAAACTTGGATCTTTATACCTTTCAAGTGAATAGTCCACATTGGGTTGGTGGGGTGTGGGGGATTGTAAGAGTCGACCACAGGTACCAGGTAAAGGAATTACTCCTTTAGCGCTAGCAGTAAAGGGTCATGCTTTTAGCACTGAAGGTTCTGGGTTGTAAAATTGCTAACACAAAAACTGGGGTCATTATACAGGAACAATTTATATCTTAAAAATGAATTGCTGACCTAGTCCTAAATTATGTTAGCAACCTAATTTGCCACAATCATGTTCTTTCAGATGCCAAGTAATCAGAATTCTGCCTGTAATTCAACTGTGGTACAAATGAAGCCACTCTTTTGAAGATGGTATATGGTGCTCAGGTTTTTCTAAAGGGGGGGGGGCAGAAGAAAAGGGGAAAAAAAAGACTGAGGGGAATTTTTTTTTAAAGGGTGAATTAATTGTAGGAAGTCATCAGGCTTACCGAAAAAAGCTGCTTCGAGATGTATAGCTGCAGGACCCAGCAGTAGCAGCTATGCTGTAAAGGAGCCCACTCTGGCAGCCAAGACCACAAAAACACCACTCCTCCTCAAGGGTTACACTTGATTTTAATCAGATAGTCTCTGATTTCTGAAATAAAACCTCACACCTTGGAAACTTTACTGGCCATGTGCAAAGCGGCTTTCCAAACATGCAGTCCCCAGATGCTGCTGTCAGTTCCTCAGATATTGTCAATAGATTGTTCCGTTGTTCTTTTCTGTACCGTCTAGAAGCAGCTTCCTAATGATGCTGATTTGCTGTAAAATAAATACAGGTGCCTGGAAAATTAATTTCACGTTCCAATAATCCACATGAAAAGTTTGAGCGGTGACACTGTAGACTGCTCACCTGGGTTTTTTATTTTTAGAGGGTGCCACACGCTCTTCTAATCTAAATCAACGTGAAAGAAGCTATATTGACAGCACCAAATCCCCTCCTTTCACAGAAGAGGTATAATAAGCACAGGAAGTGCATGTTCCCTAGCCTGTATCGCATTTTTTATCAGGAACACTATTACAGATTCTCTGTGACTCCCCAGCCATTCGGTCCTTAGCCTTTCTCCTGAGACTACCAGCAAAAGTGCTGATGGTCAATATGTGCTGACACCTGCTGATCAAGAATTAAATAGAGATCATTAACTCATGTTACATAAGCCACCAAAACAGTCACAATAAAGATTTTTGGTTACTGCTAACCTGTGCTGGATAAACCTGTCTGTAGGCTGTCACCAAACCCCTGCTAGGATGTAAACAGGCTAGTTTAATGCAACACCCCTGGATGGGCCATTGGCAGGAGGATTTGGACCTGGGATTTCCAGATCTGAAAGCATGAACCTCTACTGATTGAGCTAAAAGATTCAGCTGTTAGCTCAAAGCCAGCAACTCAAACATCTGTGGTGCAACCACTAAAGGAGGACAAAAAAGCCATCCTGTGTAAGTAGGGTTAACCTAGGATACTTTAAATTGCAGTGTTGTATTCTAGAACATTTTTGTCATGCATGGGTAAGATACTATGCAGCCCATCCTCCTCTTTCAAAAAATGTGCATGTTCTTGTCCATGAAATAATTAACATTTCTTCTTTTCTTCCTTTCAATTTTCCACACCAGTACACAAAACAGAATACAATAATGTCATTGATTTGCTACTGGAGACCTACAGTAAAAACTATGATGCCAGCTTTAACAGGATTTCTCCCCCTCTCTCACACTATTCTACATAGCTATGCATTATAAGGACAGAAAGGACCAACGTGATCATCTTGTCTGACCTCCTGTATAACGCAGGCCATAGGAGTTTGCTGAATTAATTCCCGTTTGAAAATTTCAGAAAAACATCCAATCATGATTTAAACATTTCCAGTGATGGACATTACAGTGAGCCAATGAATTTATTCTTTTGAACACTTCCTGTATTGTCTCATTTTACAAGGAAATATTTGCTCTGTCCACAGTCAGCATTAGCACTGCAACATGAGGGAGGTAGGGGGAGGGGTAGATGCAAGTCCTTCTCTTTTTACCAGCTAATACAAGACATACGCTCATTTCTTTGATTATCTACATTGTGCAACTCCCTAAAAAGCAAGTGAATCATGAACTTATGGTTGCTGCTTCAGCCGCTGAAGGCTAAAACTAGTGAAAGTGGACCGGCACTTTTCAGGCAGAAGTGATCGTTATAACATGTAACCTGCTCTCCAGTTCTCTTTTCAAACAGGCTAACTTCTCCTTTCATATAAGCATTTTATAACCAGACTTTCTCAAGTCAGATGCTAAGAAAAGAATCTCCAGGGAAAATCTTAAATAATTTTCCTTTTATTAAACAACCAGTTTTGTAGCAAAGTGTTGCTACACTAAACCTGTAGTTTCAAGACAACCTAAATAAATGTCCTCAACTAAACAAAAAGAGAGAAAATAGCATTTAGATATCCTCACAGCTGTCATTGCATTGCAATTTGGAACCTTTGACTAAACAGGATAATAAATAATGACTCTTCCTTTAAGTGTTGACCCAGTGCTGTTGATCTTTAATATCACAAGCCAAAAAAGACTTGAGGACATGAGTACTAGCAGTGGCTACTGGGATCAATTGTGTAAAGGATGAAAAACAGTACATTTGACAGAGGAGGTGGGATTTAGCCAGCAAACAAAAGATAAACTTTTTATCATCATTCTGGTCAGGAGGCATTAATAAAAAATCATCCATCCTGCAAAGTTTTAACTATGGAAGCTTTACGCCTGCGGAAACACCTTGTGTTCAGTGGGAATACTTGCATGGACAAGGAATATTCACTTGAGTTAAGGTCTGTGGGTTTGGGCCCAAATGTGTTCAGACAAAAGGGATCATGGATGAAGCATTTCAGACACTTTCAGATAAATTGTTGAAACAAATGTGAGGAATGGGTAGGATGTTAACTGCATTATTTTTGAAACAAGCATCAGTCTGCAAGCTAAACACATGTACATTTTACCCCAGATTGTGCAGATGGCTACTGACCTGTATTTGGGTCAGTGGGAAAGCACACCACCCAAGGAGAAGTTCTGGGAAGAATTGTGCCAAAGGGAAGCATAACAACTCACTAAGCCCTGGTCTATACTAGGACTTTAGGTCGAATTTAGCAGCATTAAATCGATGTAAACCTGCACCCGTCCACACGATGAAGCCCTTTATTTCGACTTAAAGGGCTCTTAAAATCAATTTCCTTACTCCACCCCTGACAAGTGGATTAGCGCTTAAATCGGCCTTGCCGGCTCAAATTTGGGGTACTGTGGACACAATTCGACAGTATTGGCCTCCGGGAGCTATCCCAGAGTGCTCCATTGTGACCGCTCTGGACAGCACTCTCAACTCAGATGCACTGGCCAGGTAGACAGGAAAAGAACCGCAAACTTTTGAATCTCATTTCCTGTTTGGCCAGCGTGGCAACCTGCAGGTGACCATGCAGAGTTCATCAGCAGAGGTGACCATGATAGAGTCCCAGAATCGCAAAAGAGCTCCAGCATGGACCAAACAGGAGGGGATCTGATCGCTGTTTGGGGAGAGGAATCCGTGCTCTTAGAACTCCGTTCCAGTTTTTGAAATGTCAAAACCTTTGTCAAAATCTCCCAGGGCATGAAGGACAGAGGCCATAACAGGGATCCGAAGCAGTGCCGCGTGAAACTTAAGGAGCTGAGGCAAGCCTACCAGAAAACCAGAGGGGCGAACGGCCACTCCGGGTCAGAGCCCCAAACATGCCGCTTCTATGATGAGCTGCATGCCATTTTAGGGGGTTCAGCCACCACTACCCCAGCCATGTTGTTTGACTCCTTCAATGGAGATGGAGGCAACACGGAAGCAGGTTTTGGGGACGAAGAAGAAGAAGATGATGATGATGATGATGAGGTTGTAGATAGCTCACAGCAAGCAAGTGGAGAAACCGATTTTCCCAACAGCCAGGAACTGTTTCTCACCCTGGACCTGGAGCCAGTACCCCCTGAACCCAACCAAGGCTGCTTCCTGGACCCAGCAGGCGGAGAAGGGACCTCCGGTGAATGTACCTTTTAAAATACCATACATAGTTTAAAAGCAAGCATGTGAAAGGATTACTTTGCCCTGGCATTCGCGGCTCTCCTGGATGTACTCCCAAAGCCTTTGCAAAAGGTTTCTGGGGAGGGCAGCCTTATTGCGTCCTTCATGGTAGGACACTTTACCACTCCAGGCCAGTAACATGTACTCGGGAATCATTGTACAACAAAGCATTGCAGTGTATGTTTGCTGGCGTTCAAACAACATCCGTTCTTTATCTCTCTGTGTTATCCTCAGGAGAGTGAGATAAAATTCATGGTCACCTGGTTGAAATAGAGTGCTTTTCTTCAGGGTACACTCAGAGGAGCCCGTTCCTGCTGGGCTGTTTGCCTGTGGCTAAACAGAAATGTTCCCCGCTGTTAGCCACGGGGAGGGGGGGAGGGTTGAGGGGGTAGCCACGTGGTGGGGGGAGGCAAAATGCGACCTTGTAACAAAAGCACATGTGCTATGTATGTAATGTTAACAGCAAGTGTGTTAGAAAGAGTACACCTGAAAGAGTTTCAGAGGAACAGCCGTGTTAGTCTGTATTCGCAAAAAGAAAAGGAGTACTTGTGGCACCTTAGAGACTAACCAATTTATTTGAGCATGAGCTTTCGTGAGCTACAGCTCACTTCATCAGATGTATAGAGCTGTAGCTCACGAAAGCTCACGCTCAAATAAATTGGTTAGTCTCTAAGGTGCCACAAGTACTCCTTTTCTTTTTACCTGAAAGAGTGTAGCCACTGTTTTATAAAATGTGTCTTTTTAAATACCGCTGTCCCTTTTTTTTCCTCCACCAGCTGCATGTGTTTCAATGATCACAGGATCTTCTCCTTCCCAGAGGCTAGTGAAGATTAGAAAGAAAAAAAAAAGCAATCGAGATGAAATGTTCTCCGAGCTCATGCTGTCCTCCCGCACTGACAGAGCACAGACGAATGCATGGAGGCAAATAATGTCAGAATGCAGGAAAGCACAGAATGACCAGGAGGAGAGGTCGCGGGCTGAAGAGAGTAAGTGGCGGGCTGAAGAGAGGGCTGAAGCTCAAATGTGGCGGCAGCGTGATGAGAGGAGGCAGGATTCAATGCTGAGGCTGCTGGAGGATCAAACCAATATGCTCCAGTGAATGGTTGAGCCGCAGCAAAGGCAGCTGGAGCACAGACTGCCACTACAGCCCCTGTGTAACCAACTGCTCTCCTCCCCAAGTTCCATAGCCTCCACACCCAGACGCCCAAGAACACGGTGGGGGGGCCACCAGCCAACCAGCCACTCCGCCACAGAGGATTGCCCCAAAAAAAGAAGGCTGGCATTCAATAAATTTTAAAGTTGTAAACTTTTAAAGTGCTGTGTGGCATTTTCCTTCCCTCCTCCACCACCCCTCCTGGGCTACCTTGGTAGTCATCCCCCTATTTGTGTGATGAATGAATAAAGAATGCATGAATGTGAAGCAACAATGACTTTATTGCCTCTGCAAGAGGTGATCGAAGGGAGGAGGGGAGGGTGGTTAGCTTACAGGGAAGTAGAGTGAACCAAGGGGCGGGGGGGTTTCATCAAGGAGAAACAAACAGAACTTTCACACCGTAGCCTGGCCAGTCATGAAACTGGTTTTCAAAGCTTCTCTGATGCGTACCGCACCCTCCTGTGCTCTTCTAACCGCCCTGGTGTCGGGCTGCGCGTAACCAGCAGCCAGGCAATTTGCCTCAACCTCCCACCCCACCATAAACATCTCCCCCTTACTCTCACAGATATTGTGGAGCACACAGCAAGCAGTAATAACAGTGGAAATATTGGTTTCGCTGAGGTCTAAGCGAGTCAGTAAACTGCGCCAGCGCGCCTTTAAACGTCCAAATGCACATTCTACCACCATTCTGCACTTGCTCAGCCTGTAGTTGAACAGCTCCTGACTACTGTCCAGGCTGCCTATGTACGACTTCATGAGCCATGGCATTCAGGGGTAGGCTGGGTCCCCAAGGATACATATAGGCATTTCAACATCCCCAACTGTTATTTTCTGGTCTGGGAATAAAGTCCCTTCCTGCAGCTTTTGAAACAGACCAGAGTTCCTGAAGATGCAAGCGTCATGTACCTTTCCCAGCCATCCCACGTTGATGTTGGTGAAACGTCCCTTGTGATCCACCAGAGCTTGCAGCACTATTGAAAAGTACCCCTTGCGGTTTATGTACTCGGCGGCTTGGTGCTCCGGTGCCAAGATAGGACTATGGGTTCCGTCTATGGCCCCACCGCAGTTAGGGAATCCCATTGCAGCAAAGCCGTCCACTATGACCTGCACATTTCCCAGGGTCACTACCCTTGATATCAGCAGATCTTTGATTGCGTGGGCTACTTGCATCACAGCAGCCCCCACAGTAGATTTGCCCACTCCAAATTGATTTCCAACTGACCGGTAGCTGTCTGGCGTTGCAAGCTTCCACAGGGCTATCGCCACTCGCTTCTCAACTGTGAGGGCTGCTCTCATCTTGGTATTCATGTGCTTCAGGGCAGGGGAAAGCAAGTCACAAAGTTCCATGAAAGTGCCCTTACGCATCCGAAAGTTTCGGAGCCGCTGGGAATCGTCCCAGACCTGCAAAACTATGCGTTCCCACCAGTCTGTGCTTGTTTCCTGAGCCCAGAATCTGCATTCCACAGCATGAACCTGCCCCATTAGCACCATGATGCATGCATTGGCAGGGCCCATGCTTTCAGAGAAATCGGACACGACGATGACGGCTACCAGTCGTATTGCACCATCTGCTGCCAGAAGGCAATGGGTTGCTGCTACTGTGTAGCAATGCCAAACCGCATCTGTCAGCACCCAGGAGACATACGGTGACGGTTACCTGAGCGGGCTCCATGCTTGCCGTGGTATGGCGTCTGCACAGGTAACTCAGGAAAAAAGGCGCGAAACGATTGTCTGCCCTTGCTTTCACAGAGGGAGGGAGGGAACGGAGGCCTGACGATATGGACCCAGAACCACCCGCGACAATGTTTTAGCCCCATCAGGCATTGGGATCTCAACCCAGAATTCCACTGGGCAGCGGAGACTGAGGGAACTGTGAGATAGCTACCCACAGTGCAACGCTCCGGAAGTCGACTCTAGCCTCGGTACTGTGGAAGCGCTCTGCCGAGTTAATGCACTTAGAGCATTTTCTGTGGGGACACACACACTCGAATATATAAAACCGATTTCTAAAAAACCGACTTCTATAAATTCGACCTTATTCCGTAGTGTAGACATACCCTAAGATCCCTAGAGGAGCACTATGAGCATGTCTACTGCACCATATATCAGGTGGGTGCAGCATGTTTTCCCCTCCACAGTCACCCTGCTCCATTGGTTAGGGCAGACACGGCCCTGCAGTCTCCTCAGCCATCCTCATCCTATTGGGGTAGTTAGTGCCTCCGAGGATGCTAGCAGGGATCAGTCCCTGTGCTTAGGAGAGAGACCAGACTGAAATGCTGGTCTGTATGGAAAGGTCGGCAAAGGTTGGAGGAAGCTCTTTACCCTCCTCTGCTTTTGCACAGAAGGTCGAGGTACAGTCTGATTTCTTTCTGGCATTTGCTCCCCGGTCATAACATCAGCCACCACACAGCAGACCTGATTCTGTGACCTGGTGACATCTCATGAAACACCACTTAGTAACTCCAGTTCACTCAAGGAAGCTACAGCAGGGGATTTCCCCCATAGTATATCTTCGACCTAAGTAACTTGTTGTACATCAATATGACAGCAACTATTTATCTTTCACAATACCATATTATATTATTTTGGGAGCTGCTGTGACTGGAGCAATACAGTACCAGTGTGGCAATAGTCGCCAAATGGTGCCGTTAAACATAGAATCATAGAATCACAGAATATCAGGGTTGGAAGGGACCTCAGGAGGTCATCTAGTCCAACCCCCTGCTCAAAAGCAGGACCAATCCCAAATTAAACATTGTTCTACAAATTTTGTTTCTTAGCTTATGAGCCTCATTCAGTCTTTCAGGTACTTCATTGTTGCTAGTCTTGTGATGCCAGAACTTTGGGGACACAAGCAGAAGGAGTGTTTCTCCTCTGAGTTAGTCTGTCTAAGTACTATCTGATTCTTGAGGCAGAATTGCACCCTAGGAACCAGGCATTGGTATTTGAGCTGAGATTGCTAAAAGAAAGGAATCCCTCCATGCTGTTTGAGCACCTCTGTCCAAGGACTGGTGCATACCATGTAAATAAAACAAATTACAATTAAGACAATATCCATACTCTGCATCACTGATTTCTGATGAGAAATTTACGAGTTAGGCCACAAAATCTGCTACTGCTCAGCAAAGGAACAACAGTGCTGCAAAGTTTAAGCACTGATAAACTTGTGGTAAATATTTACAGTGTTCTTTAATCCCCTTCCTATAGTTCTGTAGGTGAGACTACACTGCACAGACTTCAGCTCAAAGAAAGTGGTTCTGAGATGCTGCTCAGTTCTTACTTAAGACAGATTAAATATTATAATTACCAGTCCTTTATATATGGTCACCAATCTGTTACAAAATGTAGTGGCAGACAGATTCCTTCTCATAAAAATCTGGCAAATCTATCAGCCTGATCTTGCACTATTGAAATCACTGGGAGTTTGCTATTGACTTAAAGAGAAGCAGAATTACACATTAAATGCCAGATATTATATTATTCTGAGGCCCTGGGACCTCATCATCTTCAGTAGGAGCCCTGAGTGCTCCACACCTGGCAGAAACCACTGAGCATCTCACAGGACCAGACCCAAATCTGGCTTCTCTAAATAGGCTTGATCGTACAAGGTGCTGAGCATCCACAGCTCCCATTCATATCAGTGGGAGTTCTCAGGATCAGGCCCATTACAAACCTATTTGATACCTATTTGGCTGTATGTGTTGCCCAGCAAATAACTAGAGTACATGAGTACAGTAATTCTGTGATTTCAAATGTAGGAATTTTTCACACTTTTTCCTACGAGCACTGGTGGTCAGGAGATTTCCCTCTCATTTATTACCTACTTGTATTAAGCCCAGAGGTAGATTAAGGTCTTCTGGGCCAGATCAAGTTTGGGGGCCCCCCTGTGCCAGAACCTATGGCCCTTCCACCCACAACCCTGCCCCCATTCCACCCCTTCCCACGCAGCCCTGCCCCTTGCCCCCCACCCCTTGTTCCCTTATTTCTGTCCCCTCTCCCTCCCAGTGCAGCCCCAGGACCGGAGAAACTCTGTCCCCCCAGCCACGTCCCCACAGTGGGGAGTGAGAGCTCCTCTAGCCCTGACTCTGTTGCTAGGGCCCGTAGTCCGGGTGCTGGAGTTTCCCCCACCGGGCGCTGCTGCTGGGAACCAACGTTGGGGCGCTGGGCCACCCCACGGCTTCTGCCAGGACTCTGGGCTGCTGAGGTGCCCATTTTCCGGGAGCCCCAGGCATGGGCCCCTTAGGCCCACTGGATAATCCACAACAGATTACTGAAGTCTCAAATGATATTGAGGCCTTAGTGTGCTAGGCATGGTACAGGCACAGAGTTCAGCAACACAGACAATCCCTGCCCCAACAAATTTACAATCTAAATAGACAAGGGGTGGGAGAGGAAACAGAGAGGTAAGTTACTTGCCCAAAGTCACACGGCTGGTCAGCGAGAGAGCCAGGAATGGCACTGAAGTCACTTGATGACCAATCCAGTGCCCTGTCTGTTAGACTACACTGCCTCTCCTTTAACCAATTTTAATAAATTAGGCTGGGAACAAACTCACTCTCATTGCATTAGTGGAAGTCCACGTTTGCAGGTCTGAGCTCTATGATGGCATGGATTGAGTGGGCAGAAGGATACAAACAAATTATGAATACATTTCTATAGTGTCCAGTAGTCAAAGAACACAGATCATCTGTACCTCACACCAGGCTCTCTTCCCCTTCCCTATGAAAAATCCAGTCCACCAAAACAATGATTATTTATTATAGGGGTATAAGGCAAGGGGCTGCTGGCAGAGCTTTTCCCCAAAGGGCCACTCTCCTTTGGAAGGCTCTCCCCAACAAATCTCAGTTTATTGACCTTCCAAGTAGGCTGCAAAGCCCATCTGTTTGAGTGGGCATTGGAGGAGAGGGGCAGATTGCTGTCTGGTGGGGAAGAGCAGTGGGGTTTTAAACGACATGGATCCCTTAATTTGGATGCAACAATATGTGGGAGGGAGGGAGGGAAGAGAGCTGAGTTTTTGTCTGGTGTTGTGAGTGGAATTCCTATGTTACTATATTTCAAAATGCAAGTCAAGGGTTTCAGTGGCACCCTTTGGAGAGGAGCTTCTTTTAGACTGAAATCAAAATAAATTGATACAATTTATAACTACCACTACTGCTACATTTTTCACAGTTGCAAAATTACCTCCAAACGTGGTGAGTCTTTGTAAAAATGCCATGGGAACATTTTTTTTTTTAACCACATTTACACAGATCTAATCTAGAGGAAGTTTCATTTGCTTGTTAAAGATTATTTGCTTTTGAAAACAACACCAGTTATCCTATTAGGGCTATGGGGAATTTTAAATGATGGTTTAAATTTTGTTTCCCTTTAGAGAGCAAAATACAAGAACTGAATGTTAGAGGCCCCAAG